AAATATAATAAATTTAGGAGTTTTTTGGAAATTTTTAAGATGTATTTTGATCTATTTTTAATATGTGTTATATAAGGTATATTAAAACTAATAAGATAAAATTTGATGTGTGTGGATTGGTCTCTTTAGAAATTAATATTGCTTTTTCGTATTTTAAATTATGTATAATTTCATTCTTAATGTCTATTTAACCAGCAATTTACTGATCAGATAATGATCGTATGAGGAATATCGAAAAAAAAGAGCAGAAAGTAAGAAGATTTACAGCTATGATGTATTCAGTAGCTACTTTTTTTGCATACATTATTCCATTTCAAAATCGTAGACAGCGTAAACACCTTAAATCATACCACTCGGAGAATATGTTAATGAACTCAGATAAGAGGTACTGAATACTTTACCATTTTAATGAAGAAGATATATGTCCGCGGGGCCGGTTAACGGCTTGAACACCCAAAAATTAGCTTTTTATTACCGAACCGGGGTCCTTGCATTTTAAAATATATACGAACTGTGTTTGGAGTAAATGATACCGATCATCATCTTGGCAGAAAACAACATTGGATAGAGTCCTCATTAGAGTTCGTAGCCTCTGTTATGACAATGGTTACTTGACATTCGCGTTATGTTGCCGAGCCGACATTGTTCGGTGCACGCTACTATTAAGCGCCGTTCGCATACATGGAATTCAATTTGAAAATAATGCGTCTTCCGCTGCATCCTGTGCACCGTACGCATATGCGTCTCTTTTTCTCTCTTTTTGTGGGAGATGGCTGCAACGCGCATATGTAACATACATACGCGATGCGAAAATCAAACAAAGACAGATGCAAATCGAGAACATGACTTAACTATTTTGTTTGGCTATTCATTTAAAAACTTAAAAAAAAGTTTATTTTAGAAAGTTATATCCAAGAAATTTCTAAAAATTTTCTTTTTATTTGAAATTTTGAATAAAAATACCTGAAAAATTAAAGAATTTCAGGAAATTTTTTTACAAGATTTGAATAGAGCAGAAAGGAAAGAGAGAAGAGAGAGACACTTTGTGTATAATACTGCTAATTTACATAATCTTTTTAAATGATTTTTTAAATATTATTAAATATCATTAGTCTTATCGTTAATAATTTGTATATTTTTATCTATATCACTGTTTCGTATATTTTCGACTCCCATAAAAAAGAACGTTAAAATTATGAAATTCATCTATATCTTAGATACATATTGTACATGTGTATGTATTTATGTTTTAGGCCATTTTGCAAAAATCCTCGGTATCAGTCGAGATCGAGGTGAGACCGAGGCAATTGGTGCCAGACACAAACTGCTTCATCGACTATTTGCCGCAGCTGCAGACCATTGCGAGGGCCATTTCCGGTGCGCAGCCGATCTACACTCTTATGGTGCCACTTGTCGGTAAGCGAAAACAAAAATGTAACGTACCATCAAAAAAAAAAAAAAAAAAAAAAAAAAAAAAAAAAAAAAAAAAAAAA